CTCTGGCACCCGGTGCCCCGTCATGTGGGCACAGGCTATGTCTATTGACCTGACAACTTGAACAAAAGCAAAAGTAAGCATTTGGTAGCCGAGACCTCAACCTTGAGTTTGGAAATGGTCACTTTGTTCTCTGTATTTCAAACATTAAATCAGATATTAATAATAATCTTTGCATTTTATACAGCCCCTTATCATGTCTTCGAGACATCTCAAAGCGTTTCACAGAATACACTTGAATGGACTGTATATTTTGTGGCCAAAACGTGTCAACCAATTGCACACAGCAATGTCCCACAAATAGCTGTGGTTTGAGTGACCAAATTATCATTATTTATTATTACTCCTGGAAAAGCGATCAGCCAATTGAGTAACACCGGGTTTCTACTTACTACTAGGTAAACAGAAGTGTGTGGAGTAAGGAAACTTCCCAAATGTTTCGCCCTGCCCAGAAATCGAAGCCAGGTCCTCTTGCTTGCTAGGCGAGAACGCTAACCGCTGAGCTACAGGATCAAGTGAAGCCTCAGCTATAGCCTACATCTCTCTGGTGATTCGATATCATACGGTTCTTCTGGAGTCAAAGTGCAATGATATTGAAGCAAGGTTCTTCATGAAACTGTAGTGCCTGTAACAGTCACTACAGTGTACAAGAACCGAGCAACATCAAACTTCCATCCATGGAGAAGATGCACATTCTGCATGATCAATTTCCCTCCCTTCTGACTCCGACCTGCTCTTGTGAGGAGACTGAGCAGAGGCAAGGTAACTTCCTCCCTCTCCCCCTCCCCGATGGGACAGTCTTTGCTGAGCCAACCTTTCCCTTCACCCACATCCTCGCTCAGCTCCACTGGCTCCCGATCTCCTAGCAGATCGAATTCAAAGTGCCCTTGTGTTCAACTGCTTCAATGTCCTCGCCCTATCCTACCTCAGTGACCTCCTGCTACCCGACTGTCCTGGTCACTCCTTCCACTCAGCAAACACCAGCCTGACCAATCGGCTCAGCCACCAGCGAGCTTTCACCCTTGTGACCCAGTCTCTGGTCCATTCTAGAGTCCGACCACCTCGCCCCTCCCCATTTTTAAAGCCCACCATAAGATTTACCTTTTTGACCATGCTTTCAGGCACCGTTTCCTTCCCACCTCCTTGCTCCCTGCGCCCCCCCAACCTTCAGCTCTCCTCTCCTGGCTCCCTCCACCCCCCTTCAGCTAGTGACTTTGTACAGGGGAGTGGATGGGAGAGGAGAGGGTCTCTAGCCAGTCTCTATAAAGGTTGTTCTCCCTGGCTGATGGCTCTCCCTCAAAGGACTAGGGTGTTTTCACTTGTTCACCTCACTCTCCCCAGCCGTGTTTTAAAGCTAATTTCACTTCCATTGTGGTTTTAATAAATGACATGCCCAACAATTACAGAGACAGGTATGAGGTCCAGGCTACGAACTACTCTTGTTGAGAGAAACGTCCCAGTCTGTACAATTTAGTTGAAATAAAATAGGTTTCCAGTAGCTAAAACGAGGCCTGGTGAAAACAGGCCTTTAATAATGGCACGTGTGAATAGTTTAAATCTCTGAGACAAAGGAACAGCATTGTGTGCAGAAATCAAAAACTGTTAAATCCCTCAAAACAACAGCAACAGCTTTAAACAAATCAAAAGTGTTTTAACATTTTTTGGCATCCTGCACAATAACAGAGGAAAGGCAGAGTACATTGCTTGCTTATACTGCCTAGTGTGTACTGTTCACATGCACACCATCACACACAACACATATTTTCGGTTTGTGATATCAATGTCTTTTGACAAATCATGTTGAAATGTTTCTGAGTATCTGCGTTAATTGAGCTGATCTCAGCTACAGCAGCAGGAAGTGTGTAGGGAACAGAGCAAAGAGTATGAGACAATACAAATGGCCTTAGTCATTCTGTAGGAAGGTGGAGGGGATTGGGGAGGGGACCAGACAAGGTTCCTGTTCCCACTTGCTGTCTATCCTTGCTGCTAGAGTGTGTATTGAGAGTGTGTGCAGGTGAGGACACTGATCCACACTCAACTGTGGTAATCTCTTTGAACAGTCTGTTGACAGTCACTGTTCAGTGTCACACATGAAGAACGGTTAGTTGGTGAGTTACTGGAAGGGCTCAGCGGATTTGAAAGTGTAACCAAGCATGAAGTTTCCATCTTTGGAGCAGGACAGGTAGGAAAAGAATGTCTTAAGCCACATTCTCTCAAACACAAAACAAAATGAAGTACTTCTTTTGATTCTGAATAGTATTTTTGGTTAATATCAACCCAACTCTTCAAAGAAATCTGAAAGTCCACCCAATCTCAGCCTGTAAACAACAACACATTACATTTACACACAGCCTTTCACGTCGGGAGGACGTCCGAAAGAGTTGGACAGTCAGGGATTTGGACCTGAGCTGGGGGTTGGAATCAGGAGGGGTGGAGGGCAGAGTAGGTGGGTGACCAAAAGGACATTTAGTCTTAAAATTTGAGGTGGTGCAGGACTGTGGGAACCTAATCAATTCAATCTTAATCTGAAAGCCACTTTTCCCCAATTCTTATGAAAAGCAAGTATTTTCCCATATTGAGAATGAATTTAATCATTTTCCACAATTTTGTGGCATCTTGTGTTTTAAGATGAAATGGCCTAACACGCTAAGACAAGTGGAATTTCAGACCTCACATCTCTCACATCAACCTTCTGCACTAACATTGGCAGATCATTTTCATTTGTACCTCACAAGATCACGAGAGATGTAGATGAAGAAGGCCCTTTGGCCCATTTGATCTAATCCTTTCTGAATATCTAACCCACCACCTTCTCATAACAGCACTTAGCACATTCTTAAATGAGTCCAACATGCTGGCCTCATCCACCCTTCCCTCCCCGTAAAGAAATACTTCTTGGTGCAACCTTGAACCGGTGCTGTTTTTCTGCTGTCTAGGTGTATGTGAAAGCATTGTTCTGGATTTATTGTTTCAATACCATTTAAATACCTCTATAAGGTCTCCTTAAAACATCTTTTGTCAAGATTGAACCATGACAAGCTACCTTATCTGATATATGAATTTCAGGTCTTAGCTGAGGATTTCTAGGCTAGGCTTTGTATATGTAACATTCCCAGAGGAGGCATAGCACCTATATGTGCAATGATAGTCAGCCAGGAGCAGAAAGTGGCATCACAGCATTGGCGTCAATGGTCATTGCTGGGGTTAGTCCAGGATTTACTATGCCAATGATCCCATGCGCTACTTTCAGGTAAGACTTAGTTAGTGTGTCTCAGGGTGTAAGATGTTTTCCACGTAGGAGAGAGAGTATTCCATGGTGCTATCCTGCGTGAAGGGAATTATTGAAATGCTGGTTGTTTACGCGTTTCACACTGATAGGATTTCATCTGCCTCACACAGTGAAATTTCACTCCTGTATGGATGGATGACTCATGGAAAGAGCATTACTCTCAATGCTCAGGTGACCTTTAAGAGCTACAGTGTTATAATACACATCGGAATAGATCCGAGTAGAGAAACAGATTCAAGGAGAAACAGATAAACTGTACATTTAACTTAAGGACCTGACATTTAGCTTCATTTAGACTGGTCTCAGTCAGCAATCTGTTGACAAAATTTAGATTGTGATAAAACCGACTGCGGAAAGGTTGTATCTGGACTCAGTATGTGTTGATGATCCCAAGTTACTATCTAATTTACACATTGAACATGGATTGCATTATTCTGGTACCACACCACAGCACCAATCACTGATGCCGAGTGTCAGCTTAACTCTGTCACTCCCTCTCACCTCTTGTCTCAGAAGAGTGAGGATTGAAAGCCTAAGTCAGGGACTTTGCTCATAAAAAAACATAGATTCGTCAGTAATTACTCTGAAGCGCTAAAAAACGTATTAAGGCAATACATAAACGCTCATTCTTTTTGTCTAACATGAGGGAATTTGTCCTCAGTTGTGAATAATGGGATTCTACATCAGGTTTTACTTGATTAACCCATTGCAGTTGATTATCAGAAGGGCATATACATTCGGAAAAGTTGTATCTGGGCTCAGTATTGTGTTGATGATCCCATGTAACCATCTATTTTACACACTGAGTGTGGATTGATTTATTGTGGCACCACAGCACCAATCATTTATACTGAGTGTCAGCTTAACTCGGTCGCTAAGAGCCAAGTTTCGCCCACAAAATATACGGTCAATTCACTTTACAGTATATTCTGTGAAGCGCTTTGAGGTGTCACGAAGACGTAATAAGGTGCTATATCAAATGCAAGGCTTAATATTATACACACAGATTTTGGCATCACATTGTCACAGATAGCTCCCAAACATGTGGCTCCCTATCAATATGCCATGGACCTCAGGAGACACGAGACAAGATCCAGCAGCGTTATAACAAATGCCATAACAACTAAGAGCTTTTCTCTTTCACTGTGATTCACATTTTTCCAGGAAGATAAACAAATGCTACATTGAAAAAAAAGCTTTGTTGTAGTAGTGATTGAATACAACTGTTCTAAGGAGAACCTTTGGGTAAAGCACATCTTACTGTCCCTGAGGAAGGATGGTGGCTATTTTGTCTGCTCTGTTCACATGACTGGTTGACAGGACAGTGATAAATGGAATAGGCTCCAAGCACAAGCTGTTATTAAGTACTGACCTTTAGAAAGGGCTGGAGATTACGGTCTTTAAGATTCTGAAGGGACTAGATAATATCCACTAGAAGCTGTTTTATCTTGTACTGAACAGTAGAACCAGACAACAGGGCCTGAGATTGAAATGGGGTAAATTCAGAAGAAATCTGAAGAGACACGACTTCAGTGAGCGAGTAGTAAACGTATGGAACAGGCTCCCTAGGGAGACGGTGGAAGCAGAAAGTGTTGTTAGTTTCAAGAACAAATGAGATAGATTTCTGCTAGAAAATAATATCTGGGGATACAGTATATAGTTTGGGACACGACATGTTAATAAGCAACTGCCAGGATGTTGGAAGGTGAACTAAATGGACCTTGGTGCTTTTTCGCCTAGTAAATTCTTATGTTCTTATGAGAGATATATACTTAAAATGGGTTTGAGTGGTCAGACATAATTGGGACAATGAATGAACAGGGAATGCAATTGGTTACAGATGAACACCAAGATCGTAACAGGAGATAATGGGATCTCATTTGCAGGATTGCAAATATTAAACCTGAGGTGTGTGGCAGCTACACTCTGGAACTATTCTGTGACACTAACTTCACAGAATTAGTTCAGGGTCTAAGGGTTGGCCACAACACCCAATTACTATTTATTAACTCTTTACCAGTCTTATTCACCTTTTAAAAATCTTGCAACTTAGATCCGCAACCTCATTCTAAATGTCTTAGCAGGGTCCAGGGAGTAAGTGATGAGTGTCTGATGATCACCCCTCCCAGGAGATTGAAGAGTTTGGGTAAACTCCTTATAACTTCGCCCTTAACTCTACCAGTGAAAATACTGAGGTTGTGTCTTCTCATCAACCAGTACAAATAATCTTACATCATTTATCTTCTCAGAAACTTAAATTATTGAATTCTTAGCGCCCCTCTCCTCCTTGTCTGATTACAAAGGGAACAGATTCTCAGTCTGGATTTGAATTCAGCGAGAAGACATAGAATCAGAAGGAATTAGTTTCAAAGAGAGATAGACAAATACTTCAAAAATAAGGAGATTAAGGACTTTTGAGAAAAGGTGGGGAAATAGAATTGAAGAAACTATCATGGCTTTGATGTAACCAAATAGTGAAACAGGCTGAGTAGGCTGAATGAGTACTTCTTTTACAAAGTTCAAACATCATAAGGTTCCTAATCTAGTCCGCCCACAAGGATCTTCTTAATCTCCTAACCACATTTGCAGGTCACAGGATGGATGAGACCCTGTGACTGCAGAGAGTACCATAGAAGTGAGCAATGATATGAAGCAGATGGCATGCACAGGGTAGGCTGATATGAATGGAAGCTGAGACACACGGATGAAAATGTTTGTATGTTAGCAGTGGATATTGTGGCAATTTAGTGGTAAATGTTCCACTTAGCACATCACCAGAGGCAGAGCTCCCCATCCCATTTTCAAACCCATTGATCTGGATTGGACCTCCAGTTGTTTGCATATCGGGATACTCTTGAGATCTTGATTTGGTTAAAAAGCTGACCGCTATATATACCAATAAACTTATCTGAATGGTGAGATGTCAAGCTCAAAGGCAAGACTCCAGCTTCACAGATGTTGAATGAGCACGGCATGTGGAGGAGGCGAGAGAGAATCAACCTCAGGTACATTCAGTAGGTAAAAATTGAGCTGCCATTAAATTGTCTCCATTTTGGGGTGATATTATTTCCATTGAATTTGTTTAGCTAAAACTTTTGTGTGACACCGAGCCCTGAGGAAAGGCACACGTCGTTCAGAGGCTTTCACACTCTGCAGCTTATTATTTGCCTTTTCACAAGCAAACCAAAGGGCTGCCAGGTGCCCCTCTGTAGACTGATGAGATTTGAAGATTTTCCCCTTGGGACTACTTTTAAATTGCTCCCAAGGAACAGACTCTCCTCAGAAGAGAGTCCCAAATTCCACTTAATATGCCAAAAATATCGTTAGTCTAGGAGTACCATTATACCTTGGAATTTGAGATATCTAGAATTAAGGAAAAATACTTAATTTCAATATCACCTAAGACTTGTATAAATTTTGCAGGATTTTTTAAGGACTGGGGAAAACTATCTTCAAATTATGCCTGAGTTGAAGATATCTCAAGAGTAATTTGCAATGGTTTAGGTGAAAAAGCAGGTTCGCGGCGCTGAATTGAAGTCCTTTTCTTCTATACCATTCTTCTGGGCCGTAAATTTCTATGGCTCTCTGAAGAACCTTACATAATTCTACTTCATCTTGAGTTGTTAAGACAAATTAGTCTCCCAAACTGGAACTGTGTGGAATTTCAGGCTCCTGACTCCCATTTCTGAAAGTCTTCATTTACCATTGAGCTGAGAAGAGCAGAGCGATACAATGCTGTGGACAGCACCATACTTTGCTGGGTGTCCACCCTGCTCTTTATGGCCATTATACCAGAAACATGAGGCATTGTGTGCTGAGGATTGGAGTTGGGACCTAGGTTTCAAGTAGTGGAACTCAGGCTGTGGCTCTCACAGGAGTAGGTATGGGGAGGTGAAGGCGATGGGGCTAATTTTTGCCCAAAGGCACAGCAATATTCAGAGTGTTTTTGAAATAGACTCCTTTGACTGGGCGTTAGAGAGAACTTCTTTTGTATAAAAATACAAGCCTGTTTTCACTACCAAATACCAAATGTAAAACAAATTCTTGCTCTGGATGTAGAGCTGGTAATATTTTGTGACTCCTGTTTGCTTTTTGTGGCCTGTGTTTTCTGGAAAGATACCCTTAATTCTTTCAAGTCTATTTGACGCCATTGATTTTTGTTTGGTGTGAGAATAGAGAGGTTCCCAGGCTTGGCCATACAACACTTGGTGGTTATCATGGCATGACATTGCCAAGTTGCTCAGGCATCAAGTATTCAGCAGGGGTAGGTTGGCTCTTGCTGGGCAGAACGTTTGGGTTCAACAGGAGGCTGTGCTGAGAGTCCACCATGTGAATGGAGGTATAGTCCGGTACAGGCAGCTGCCTTGCACTCTCTGCTTCCTTACAGGACCTGGCCACAGCATTGTCAAGGCTGTCCACCATCAGATAACAATTCGGATTCCTCTCCAGATCCGCCATTCTCTGCTCATTTGGAGCATCCAAGGAACACAGCTGTTTCGTGTCCAATTTGGATGTGTAGGCACTATCGGGTGCTTTGGTTCTCTGGGCTCCCTTTGCCTCTTTTCTCAGTGGTGCCTCCATTCTGCTCTGCTGCCCAGGTGAAAGCAGGACCCCTCCTGCTGGAGTGATGTCGCTTACCTGGGCGTAGAAGTCCATGTTGCCAAAGGAACTCTGGCTGCAGAGCTGGCTGTGTGTGCTGGGCTTGTGGTCAGACACTTTATCACTCACTGTCGCAAGTCTGCTATCCACAGTCATCAGCTCGAAGTTACCCGTGCCACAATCATCGGCCTCCAGATACTCGGTGCCTCTCAGATCTATACTATTCTTGCCTATAGGCGTTCCCTCGCTCAGACTCACCAGGGATCCCTCTCTCTCACCACTGGTTTCCAATTGCTGAGCAGCTGATATACTGGTGCTTTTTCTCCCACTAGTGAGATCGACATCAAAAACATCTGCTTCGTAGCAGCTGTCGCGGCCCGAGTCATCATCCTTGATGCTCAGGCAGGGATCAGACGTGGGGTGTTCACAAGCCAGGAGTCTGTCTGTATCTGACCCTTCTGTCTTCCTGTCAGAATCCTCAAGGTCAACGTCAATAAATTCCACCCAGGGGTCATCGGCGTACAGCTCAGCTTTATAGCTCAGGTGGTTGGCAAAAATGGAGTTCACCTCATTGATTTTACCTTTCTGTAACAGAGACAAAAAAATATGAGCAAGTTACCAGGGATATCTTTCTTCATTGAAGATGGGAAGATTAATGAGTGACCTTTTAGAGGTCCTCAAGATTATCATAATAATAATAATATTCCTTTCATTTGATATTATTCCTTATCATGTCGTTGAGATGTCTCAAAGCGCTTCACAAGATATACTGTAAAGTGGATTGATTGCGTATTTTGTGAGCAAAAAACAGCAGCCAATGACAACAACAACCAACAAAATTATATTTGTGTAGCGCCTTTCATGTCGGGAGGATGTCCCACAAACAGTTGTGGATTGAGTGACCAATTTATTTGGGAAGGGATCATTAAAGTGATCCGCCAATCGACTAACAACCGGGTTCCTACTTACTGCTAGGTAAACAAAGGCATGTAGAGTAAGGAAACTTGGCTAAGGTTTCGCCCCACCTGGGAATCGAACCCGGATCCTCTCGCTTGTGAGGGGAGAGCTCTAACCACTATGCTACGGGACTACACATTATTCAGGGTAAATAGTAATACTGGAGGTAATTTCACCAGTCAGCAAGTTAGGAATAAGGTAATCAAAAAAAGGAATTGAAGGAGAGTTCAGAAAAAAAACTTGTCTTTACACAGAAGGGTCTGGGAACACAATGCAATATTCTCTACCATAAAGCAGAGTTGAAGCAGAATTAGTTAATTCTTCTGAAGGGGAATCGGATAGAAGCTAGAAAAGGAGAAATATTGAATGCTATGGGGGAGAGTGGGGTTAGACTGGGCAGTTCATGTGGAGACAACAACAGTATTGCATTTGCAAAGCACGTTTCACGTTGGGAGGACATCCCAAGGCACTGAACAGTCAGGGATCCAGCACCAAGCATGGGGGGGGGGCAGGGTTGGGATGAAGGAGTGCAGAGAGGCTGAAAGCCCGGCCGTCGATGGTAGGGGTGATTGAGCGGGAGACCTGGAGCAGGCCGGAGCCTGCTGAGCAGAGGGAGTGGACAGGCTGATAGGGGGTCAGCAGGTCAGAGATGTAGGAGAGGGCAAGGCCATGGAGGGCCTTGAAAGTGAGGACGTGAATTTTGAATTCTATCCTCTGAGGGATGGGGAACCAATGGAGCCGGGCGACGGTGGGGTTGATGGGTTCACAGAGCCTGGTGCAGAAGAGGACATGAGCTGCAGAGTTCTGGATGATCTGCAGCTTGTGGAGGGAAGAGTTGGGGAAGCCGACAAGGAGGTTGAGCCTTGAGGTGATGAATGTGTGTATGAGAGTTTTGGTGGACTGAGGGATGAGGCAGTGGCGGAGTCTGGCAATGTTGAGGAGGTGGGGGAAGGCAGAGCGGTTCATGGCACGGATATGGGGGAGAAAGATTAAGGATTCACATTACCTTCAAAAGTTCCGGATCAATGCCTTTGATTTTGGGCACAGGGACAGGAGGAAGAAGCAGCACCTTCAGCCTATAAAATACACACTTCAGGGCATCAGTTTGTCAGCTTTAACATTTATCTTTTTCAAAAACAACAGTTTACATACAAATAGCCTCTTTGACATTAATAATAATCTTTGCATTTGATATAGCGCCTTATCACAGCTAGCGCTTCACAGAATATACTGCAAAAGGAGGCGCGTGCTCTAACCACTAAGTTACAGAACTTCACAGTGTCAGTCCTGTAACATTGTGAGTCTACGACTATTTTTATGTGTACTACTATACATACCTTTGGTTATTAGTGAACAGGATCAGTAGCAAAACTGCAGCCACACCCAATGACACGAATATAAGGATCAGCCTGAGCAGGAATCCTGCTTCTGTAAGATCAAACAGGTTGAAACCCATCAAGCAGAAAGCAGACGGAAAACAAGTTACGTTTCTGACAGAGCATAGCAAGTTGGGAGTGTCAGGCAGCACTTAAATATTTAAGATGTCAATTGAGGTAGCCAGGAAGTTATTAATTACAGCGCCTCATCATAATGCCATGTTTTGGGACCATAAAATCTCAATATGTGCTGTAGCAAGGTGGGTGTCACTGCACATGCACTCAGCTGTCCAACTCGCTCCCTGCACACTGTCCAGTTTGTGCGCTAAAAGACAAAATAACTGACCTCTGGGTCATCAGGTCACCATCAATAATAATAATAATCCTTGCATTTGATATAGCGCCTTATCACGTCTTCGAGACGTCTCACAGGTTATACTGTAAAGTGTGTTGACTGTATATTTTGTGAGCGAAACACGGCAGCCAATTGTGCACAGCGGTGAGTGACCCATAAACAGTCGTGGATTGAGTGACCACATTTTTTTTTGCATTTTGAAGAGATTATTAACCCAAGAAAAGCGATCCGTCAATCGACTAACAACCAGGTTCCTAGCTACTGCTAGGTAACCAGAGACATGTGGAGTAAGGAAACGTTTCACCCTGACAGGAATTGAACCCAGGTCCCCAGGGGTGGGGGTGGGAGGGTGGCTGAAGGCACAGTCGAAGAGAAAGGTCTTCAGACAGGACTTGAAGGAGGCAAGAGAGGGGGTGAGGCAGAATTGAACCCATGTCCTCTTGCTTGTGAGGCGAGTGCTCAAACCCCTAAACTCAAGCCGTAGCTTGCTGAGCAGAGGGAGACGACAAGTTGAAAAGGCTTTAGCAGGTCACAGAGGTAGGAAGGAGTGAGGCTGTGGAGGGCTTTGAAGACGATCAAATATAAGGCATTAGCAACATCAACAATCAGAGGTTTCGGACCCAAGTTGTGAGTTGCGGTCAGAAGAGGAGGAGGGCAGGGGAGTTGGGGGTGGGAGGGTGGCTGAAGGCACAGTCGAAGAGGAAGGTCTTCAGACGGGACTTGAAGGAGCAAGGGAGGAGGTGAGCCAGGAATTGAACCCAGGTCCCCTCGCTTGTGAGGCGAGCGCTGTAACCCCTAAGCTACAGTGGAGTCCTGTAGCTCAGTGGTTAGAGCACTCGCTTTGCAAGTGAGAGACCTGAGTTCAATTCCAGGCAGAGGGCGAAACCTCGGGCAAGTTTCCTTACTCCACACAGAGCCTAATAATAATCCCTCCAAAACCAAAAACAATAATTAAATTGGTCATTTTCAATCTACGACTGTTTGTGGGACATTGCTGTGCGCAATTGGCTGCCGCGTTCGCCCACAAATATACAGTCAATTCACTTTACAGTGTGTTCTATGAAGCGCTTTGGGACGTCCTCCCGACGTGAAAAGCGCTATATCAAATGCAAGGATTATTATTATTATTATTATTACAGAACTCCACAGGCCCTGTAGCTTAGTGGTTGTAGAGAAATAAAGAAACATCTACAACCACAACAACTTGGATTTATAAAGCACCCTCCATGCCGGATGGCGTCTCAGAGCGCTTCACAGTAACGGATCCCAGGACCAAGCCAGGGGGAGGAGCCAGGGGGAGGGGGAGGAAGGTGACCAAAGGCGCGGTCGAAAAGAAAGGTCTTCAGCAGAGACCTGTAAATGAGAAGGGAGGGGACGAGACGAAGGGAGTGAGGAAGGCAGTTCCAGAGCCTCGGGGCGCAGTGGCTGAAGGCACGGTCACCGAGGGTGGAGCGGAGCACTCGGGGGACGAGGAGGAGGCCAGACCCGGAGGAACGAAAGCAACGGGTACTGTTTTGAGGGGAGAGGAGGTCAGAGAGGTCGGGGGGTGCAGAGGAGTGCAGGGACTTGAATACAAGGGTGGGGATCTTGGTCGATCCTCTGGGATAGGCAGCGAGTGCAGTCTGGCAAGGACGGGGGATCGAGGAGCGGAAGTTTGTCGGGTGAGAATGCGGGCGGCAGAGTTTTGAATGATTTGGATTTTATGGATGGTCGTGGAGGGAAGGCCGGCGAGGAGGGCGTTAGAATAGTCCAGCCGAGAGGTGACAAAGGCCTGGACCAGGGTTTCAGCGGCTTTTGGGGAGAGGTATTGGCGGAGAATGGCGATGCGTCCGAAGTGGTAAAGGCGGTGCTGGTGAGGGACCGCTTGTGGGGGAGGAAGGATTATTGGAGGTTGAACCTGATCCCTAGGTTGCATACGGGTTCGGAGAGTTTTAGGGGGAGGTCTGGTAGGTGGAGGAGGTGAGAGCCGTGAGATTTTAGATGTTGACGAGAGCCAAAGAGTATGGCTTCCGTCTTGTCAACGTTCAGCTGAAGGAAGTTTGTGCTCATCCAGCCCCTGAGATCTGACAGGCAGAACATCAGGGGACTGGGGGGCGCAAAGAGAGGTGGACAAATAGAGTTGGGTGTCGTCCGCTTACATGTGGAAGTGTACCCCATGTCTGCAGAGGTAGAGGGAGCCCTGGTCACAGATAGAGAGGATGGCATTTGTGACTTTCACAACAACAACAACAACAACAAGATTCCATTTATAAAACGCCTTTCACGTCAGGAGGACGTCCCAAGGCGCTGCACAGTTGGGTCATGACCCGAGCAGGGGGGAAATGGTCAGGGTGAGGGAAGGGAGGGAGCGAGGAGGGGGGAAATGGTCAGGGTGAGGGGAGGGAAGGGAGGGAGCGAGGAGGGGGGAAATGGTCAGGGTGAGGGAAGGGAGGGAGCGAGGAGGGGGGAAATGGTCAGGGTGAGGGGAGGGAAGGGAGGGAGCGAGGAGGGGGAAGAGAGTCGAGAGGGGAGCTGAAGGCTCGGTCAAAGAGAAAGGTTTTGAGACCGGCCTTGAAGGAGGAAAGGGAGGAAGCGGCGAAGGCACTGGGGGATGGAGTTCCAGAGCCTGGGGCTGAGAGGCTGAAGGCCCGACCACCGATGGTAGGGCGGTTGGGGCGGGGGACGTGGAGCAGACCGGAGCCAGAGGAACGGAGGGTACGGGCAGGTAGGTAGGGGGATAGTAGGTTGGAGAGGTAGGAGGGAGCAAGGCCGTGAATGGCCTTGTAGGTGAGGATGAGGATCTTGAAATCAATCCTCTGGGGGATGGGGAGCCAGTGGAGGCGAGCGAGGGTGGGAGTGATGTGGTCCCGAAGCCTGGTGCGGGACAGTACACGAGCTGCAGAGTTCTGAATGACCTGCAGCTTGTGGAGGGAGGTGGCGGGAAGGCCGGCGAGGAGAGAGTTCCCATAGTCCAGCCTTGAGGTGACAAAGGCGTGAACCAGGGTTTCAGCAGCGTGAGGGGTGAGGTAGTGCCGTAGTCTGGCGATGTTCCGGAGGTGATGGAAGGCGGTGCCAGTTGTGGTGCGGATGTGAGGGAGAAAGGACAGCTCAGGGTCGAACAAAACGCCGAGGTTCCTGACTGGCTTTGAGAGGTGGAGAGTGCAGCCTTGGATGCTGATGGTGTCAGCGCCTGAGGTGCGGAGGCGCTGACGTGAGCCAATCAGGAGGGCCTCGGTTTTTCGCACGTTGAGCTGAAGAAAGTTGTCTCTCGTCCAGGACTCGATGTCGGACAGGCAGCTGTCAGGACATCGGTGGTCGTGGAGTTGAGAGTAGAGGAGGAAAGGTAGAGTTGGGTGTCATCCGCATACATGTGGAAGTTAACTCCATGTCTGCGGATGATGTCACCAAGGGGGAGCATATAGAGGGTGAAGAGGAGGGGACCGAGGACAGAGCCCTGAGGGACACCACATGAGACAGTACGGGGGGTGGAGGAGAAGCCATTCGTCGAGACAAAGTGAAGACGGTGAGAAAGGTACGACCTAAACCATTCAAGGACAGTGCCTTGAAGGTTGAGGTGGGAGGACAAGCGGTGGAGTAGGATAGCGTGGTCGACCGTATCGAATGCTGCCGATAGGTCGAGGAGGACGAGGAGGCAGAGGGAGCCCTGGTCACAGATGGTCAGGATATCATTGGTGACCTTGACCAGGGCAGTTTCTGTGCTATGGGCAGCACGGAAACCTGACTGAAGGGGTTCGAAAAGTGAATGGGTGGAAAGGAAAGAGCGCAGTTGGGAGGCGACAACTCTTTCCAGGACCTTGGAGAGAAAGGGGAGGTTGGAGATGGGCCGGTAGCTTGATAGCTGCGACGCATCAAGGGAGGGTTTTTTCAGGGTGGGCGTGATGGTGGCAGTTTTTAAGGGAATGGGGACAGAGCCAGAGGAGAGGGACAGGTTGATGATGTCGGAGATATGTGGGGCAAGAAAGTGGAGCTGGGAGATAAGGAGTGGAGTGGGGATGGGGTCAAGGTAGCAGGTGGTTGGTTTTAGGGATAGGATGAGTTTAGTGACAGAGGGTGGGGAAACGGGTACAAACGTGAGTAGGGGAGGATGGGTAGCAGTCGGAGTGTGGGAGTGAGGGGGTGGGGGGTTGGTGGATGTTGGAGGGGAAGTGACCGCGGAGCGAATTCCCTTGATCTTGGATTCAAGGAAATCCAGCATCTCCTCGCAGTGAAGGTTGGAGGAGATGACCTGCGCGGGGTGGCGGGGGGGACGGAGGAGTCGGGTTGTGGTGGAAAACAGTAGCCTGGGGTTGTTCTTCACCTCCAGGATTATCCTGGAGTAGAAGGACGACTTGGCCGAGGCTAGAGTGGAGCGGTAAATTTTGAGGAGGTCCAGCCAGATTTGTCGGTGGACCGTTAGGCCAGATTTGACACAGGTGCGTTCAGCGGCCAACACCTGGCTTTTCAGTGAGCGGAGGTGGGTGGTGTACCAGGGGGAGGAGCGGGAGTAGGAGACAGTGCGGGAAGTGATGGGGGCAAGAGCAAGACAAGTGCAGTCTCTGAACTGTGGGCGGAAACCGGACTAGAGGGGTTCGAAGAGGGAGTGGGAGGAGAGGTGTGCGCGAAGTTGGTTTACAGGAATTACTAAGTGTTGTGACTGTGTATCAAATCCAGGTCCTCTCGCTTGTGAGGGCGAGAGCTGTAACCACTACAGAAGTCCGCGATCAACAGTGAATGCACAAAGCAAACAGTGAGATTCACAGTTGAATGGCCTCCTATGCTATGAAATTCAGCAATGAAGTTTACAACTGTTGGTGGGAATGACTCACCCTCTGCTGACGTTGGTTTGGGGATGAAGACGTGAACAGTGTCACTGAACTCACTGAAATCCCTGTTGGCAATCTGTTTGCATCGCAGACGGATCTGATACTTCCTGCCAGTTGTGAGCGCATAGACTGGGTGTGAGGTCGACAAGGCAACGATCTGTCAATAACAACAACTTTACATTAACAACACATTACAATTAGACGGTACCTTTCACATTGGGAGGACGTCCCAAGATGCTGGACAGTCAGGGATTTAGACCCGAGCTGGGGGTTGGGATCAGGAGGGTTGGAGGGCAGGGAGGGTAGGGGTAGGAGGGTGACCAAAGGCACAGTCGAAGAGGAGGGTCTTCAGATGGGCTTTGAAGGAGCTGAGGGAAGGAGCGAAGGGGCAGGACTGGGATGCAGTTCCACAGGGTGGGGTCAGAGAGGCTGAAGGCCCGACCACCGATGGTGGGGAGGGCTGGACAGGGTTGTGGAGCAGGCCGAAGCCTGCTGAACAGAGGAAGCAGACAGGTTGATATGGCATTAGCAGGTCACAGAGGTAAGAAGAAGCAAATTACATTTGTATAGAGTCCTTCACATCGGAAAGATGTCCCAACATGCTGGACAATTGGGTTTTGGACCCGAGCTGTGAGTTGGGATCAGAAGGGGAGGCGGCAGGGATGGTGGGGATGGAAGGATGACTGAAGGCACAGTCGAAGAGAAGGTCTTCAGACAGGACTTGAAGGAGGCAAGAGAGGGGGTGAGGCAGAGGGATTGCACGATAAGAGTTCCAGATTGTGGGGCAGAGATGCTGAATGCCAGACCGCAAATGGTGGGGCAGGAAGTGCGAGGAACCTGAAGCAGCCGGTGCCCACTGAGCGGAGGGAGCGGACAGGCTGAGTGGACAGGAGGTCGGAGAGATGGAAGGAGCAAGACCATGGAGGGCCTTGAAGGTAAGAACGAGGATTTTGTACTCGATTCTTTGAGGAATTGGGAGCCGGTGAAGCCGGGCAAGAACAGGGGTGATAGGTTCCCGGAGCCTGGAGCGAGAGAGGACACTAGCTGTTCTGAATAATCTGCCTCTTGTGGAGGGAAGAGTTGGGAAGCCCAGTGAGCAGACAGTTGGCGTAGTCAAGCCGGGATGTGATGAAAGCATTTATCAGGGTCTCAGTGGCCTGCGGTGAGAGGCAGTGGTGGAGGTGGGGAAAGGCAGAACTGGTCATGGCACAAATAAGGGGTTTGAAGAATAGCTGAGGGTCGAAAAAGACACTGCAGTTTCAGATTGGTGAGGTGAAGAGAGCAGCCATAAATCAGTGGCTGAGGTGAGGAGGCAATGCCAGGAGCCAAGTAGGAGGGCCTCTGTCTTGACTAGAGATTAGTAGAGCTGATGGCAGATGCAGCTGAGATATTTAAGATTATAAGGGCATTATGAGGGTTGGAATTTTTTTTATGGTCAGCCAGATGTCTGACACACACAAACCAATCACCGTGCTTAAGAGTATCCAAATAAGAGTGAGAGTTCAATGCATCCCACCTATACATGGAAATTTCCGTGTATTTGAATGGAATGCACACTGTCTCCCTGAAGGAACCCACCCTGCTTATCTAATTCCGGAGACTATTAGGCGCAGGTTGGCAAGAGCCAAGGCTTGGGGACTCCAGAGTGTGCGTTGGGACAACTGCTGGATTTTGGAAAATATGGTGCTGATAAAAATAAATAAATAATCCCTGCATATAATACATCACCCCTAACATTGAAATGTCTCAGAGTACAGAACGGGCAATTGTTACAAAATGTAATGACTGTTGATTTGTAGGATCTTTATACCACAAAGAATATTCAGAAAGCAAAGCTTCAAAAGGAGGTAAATTGAATAGGAAACGCAGAAGATATGGGATGAGTAAATGGGATTGGGGTTTGGGCTGTGGTGATACACATCACATTATAAGAATAATAATCCTTGCAGTTGAAATAGTGCCTTACCATGTTAATGAGACGTCTCAAAACTGTAAAGTGCAGTGACCGTATTTTGTAGGCGAAACGCAGCAACAAATTGTGCTCAGTAGTGTCCCACAAACAGTCGTGGTTTGAGAGACCAAATTATTATTTATTTGTTTTTTGAAGGGATTAATTCCCCCAGGAAAGCGATCCGTCACTCGACTAACAACCAGCCAGGTTCCTACTTGCTGCTAGGTAAACAGAGGGTTGTGGAGTAAGGAAACTTGACCAACATTTCACCCTGCCCGGGAATCAAACCCAGGTCCCTCGCTTGCGAGGTGAGTGCTCTAATCAAGAGCTACAGGACTTAAGTGAATAAAATGTCATTTAGGCAAAGGCTGCTGATGACTTACGGACTCCCAGTGAAGGCTCTCTCTGAGTTTGTACTGGATTTCATACTGCAGGGAGATCCACCCATTCCTGATGTCTGCCGTGGGCGGAGGCTGCCAGAACAGCTGGATGTCTGCAAGCAGCCCCGACTGGCTGATGTTCAGTAGTGTCCAGTTCAAAGCGATCGGCGGATCCGGTTTCACTGAGAAAAATGGGAAAATGCAGTGTGGGTACACACCAGGAGTGCGGACACTAATCCTTGCCTTTGATATAGCACCTTACCATGTTGTTGAGACATCTCAAAGCGCTTCACAGAATATACGCAAAAAGAACACGGTAGCCAATTGTGCACAGTGGTCCCACAAGCAGTCATAGATTGAATGACCAAATTATTATTTTCAAGGGATTATTACCCCGGGACAGTGACCAGGAGTGTAGACACTGACACTGGGGGTGTAGACACTGGCACTAGGGGTGGGACACTGGCACTGGGGGTGTGGACACTGGGAGTATGAACACTGACACTGGGAGTGTGGACACTGGCACTGGCGGTGTGGAACATGGCATTGCGGGTGTAGACCATGGCACTGGGGGTGTGGACACTGACACTGGAGTTGTGAACACTGACACTAGGAGTGTGGACACTGGGAGTGTGAACACTGACATTGGGAGTGTGGACACTGGGAGTGTGGACTCTGGGAGTGTGGACACTGGAAGTGTGGACATTGACACTGGGAGTATGGAAACTGGTTGTTTTTACCAATGTTGTCGATGGAGAAGCATCTTCTGTCGAAGGTGATGTTCTGCTGCTGAATGTCTGACTTGAGCTGCACACAGTAAGGCACCCAAATAGAGGTGTAGCTCTGGTTAAAGTAGCAGCCACTCTCTCCGCTCACGTACTGAGGACACTCCTTCCAACCAGCATTCATTCTAAACAGATGTCTCAGTCAGTAAGTGTGTGATTCTAACCCCGATTAGAGCACATTTTACAACAACTTAAATTTATACAGCGCCCCTCATGCAGGGTAGTGTCCCAGAGCGCTTGACGGTGGCGGAGCACAACTCCGAGCCGGGGGGAGGTGACTTAGGCACGGGTGAAGAGAAAGTTCTTTAGGTGCGACCTGAAGATGGGGAAGCAAGGGGCAAGGTGGAGGGACAGAGAGAGGGTGTTCCAGAGGTTATCCTGACATGGTGACAGCCCTCTGTGAACAGCGCCCGCGACCTGACAACACCTTACAGTTATGGAGTGGTGCCCTTCACTTAGGATAACTGTTCACAACACCTCACAAATACTGGGCTCGGTGCTGAGCAAGGCACAACTCGGAAGATGGCTATAAGTCTTGTCAAAGAGGTATATAATACTAATAATCCTTGCATTTGATATAGCGCCTCATCATGTCGTTGAGACGTCTCAAAGCGCTTCACAGAATATACTGTAAAGTGAATTGACTGTATTTTGTGGGCGAAACGAAGCAGTCAATTGCACACAGCAGTGTCCCACAAACAGTCGTGGATTGAGTGACCAATATTTTGTGAAGGGATTATTACCCCCGGAAAACAGAGGTGTGTGAAATAAGGAAACTTGCCCAACATTTCGCCCTGCCTGGGCTCGAATCTTGCGAGGTGAGTGCTCTAACGACTACACTACAGGATTCCATTGTCAGATCATCCTGGAGACCAAGAACAACCTCAGGTTGTTCTGTATCTAAGCGCTCTGAGACGCTACCTGCTCCAGGTAAAGAGAGTTATGGGGGTGATAGGTTCATTAAGCCAGGTGGGGGAGAGGACATGGTCTGCAGAGTTCTGGATTGTCTGCAGCTTGTGAAGGGAAGAGCAGTGTTGGCACAATCAAGGCATGGGTGAGGGCCTCAGTTACCGGGAGGTGAGCTTGTGGCGGACGCAATGTTAATAATAATAATAATCCTTGCATTTGATACAGCGCCTTATCATATCTTCGAAACGTCTCAAAGCGCTTCACAGGATATACAAAAGTGAATTGACTGGATATTTTGTAGGTGAAACACAATTGCACACAGCAGCGTCCCACAAACAATCCTAATTTTTTTTTAGAAGGGATATTATCCCCGGAACAGCAATCCGCCAATTGACTACTTACTGCTGGTAAACAAGGGTGTGTGGAGTAAGGAAATTTGCCTACGGTTGCGCCCTGCCTGGGAATTGAACCCAAGTCTCTCACTTGTGAGGCGAGGGCTCTAACCACTGAGCTACAGGACTCCATGTTGTGGCAGAGAGGGAAAGCCGAGTGAACCACAGCACAGATGTAGAGTATGACTAAGAGTAGTCACCATACTCAGACGTGTTTTGACTCTTAAAAACAATTATCATATTTCTCAGGTTCTGATGATAAGTGTATGACCTTGTTGTGTCTCAAGCTTGCCTGAGCCAGCTTGTCTCAGGCTGAATGAAGACACATCAAGCCCCCAAGGCTGGAGATCACGGCCCCATCACTCACCCTTTAGAGTAAAAAAACTTGAGGCTGCCAGGTCCCGTCAGGTTAGGGTAGTTCCCTGCACTCCATCGGCACGTAAAGGTCTCCTGCTCGGGAGAGCGGCACTCAGTGATCCTCGGCCTCTCCCAGGGAGCTGAGAGGAGACACAGAGAAGACAGGTCACCCAGCGCCAGCACTGGCTCCCACACTCACCCCCTCCCTGCTGTATTGTACTTACAAGCCAATAATCACAATCACAAGACACTGCTTTCACGATCACACTCATCTACAAATCCCTTCACACCTTGGCACCTCCCCACATCTCTGACCTACTCACCCCTCACTCCTCTACCCACTGCCTCCGCTCGGCTGGCTCCGGCTTCGTTTGTCCCTCATCCCCTCCGTTTCACCATCAGCAGCCGCACTTTCGGCCACTACGCCCCAAAACTCTGGAACTCTCTCCCTGAATCCCTCCATCCTGCCCCTCCTTCCCCTTTTTTAGATCACGACTAAAGACCTTCCACATCAACTGTGCTTAGGGTCACCTCCCCAGCTCGCCGTCAGACTCCACCACCGTTAAGTGTTTTGGGACTCTACCCTGTGTGAAGGACGCTATATAAATGCAAGTTTTTGTTGTTGCTTTTTGTGAGTGCACCATTGCCTGTTTTGCCCATAAAATATACATTCACTACACTTTACAGTATATCCCGTAAAGTGCTTTGCAATATCTCGATAGCTATAGCAAATGCCAGAATTATTATTATATTATTTGTCACCACTCCAAAGAATCTTAGATAATACAACAACTGCATTTATGCAGCATCTTCACATGGGCTAGCATCTGAGGCTCTTAAATACAGAATAGATGGAGGTCATTCAACACATATCCCCCCTGGAGCTCTCTAACCCCATTCCCTGCTCCCTCTCTCTCGCCCCATCGTGTCTGTGCTGGGGCTCGCTCCCCCACTGGATCTCTCTACTCTAACCCCATTCCCTGCTCTCTCTCTCTCTCTCTCGCCCCATCGTGTCTGTGCTGGTGCTCGCTCCCCCACTGAAGCTCTCTGCTCTAACCCCATTGCCTGCTCTCTGCCCTATTGTATCTGACCGGCACTGTATCCTATCACACTGTGCATTCATAGTGCACTTTTAGATATTGAAGTGTGGAAACAACATTCTTTATATATATTTGTGGAAATCGATTGGAGTATTCAGCACAAGCTTTCACTTACACCTTGGAAACATAGAAACAGAATGAGGCCATTCAGCCCCTCGCGCCTGTTCTGCCATTTTATAAGATCATGGCTGATCTGTACCTCAACTCCAATTACCTGACTTTGCCCCATATCCTTTGATTGATTCCCTGACCTAACAAACATCTATCCACATCAGTCTTAAAAATGTGAATGGATCCAGCATTTTGGGGAAGAGAGAGAGAGAGTTCCTGATTCCCATTGGCCTTTGGGTGAAAAACTGCCTCTGATTTCACTGCTAAATGGCCCAGCTCTAATTTTAAGATGATACCCCTTGTTCTGGATTCTCCACCAGAGGCATTAGTTTCTCTGTTGCTGCCTATCGAATCCCTTTATCATGGTAAACACCTCAATCAGATCACCCCTCAACCTTCTAAACTCAAGGGAATACAGACCGAGTTTATGCAACCTGTTCTCAAAATTTAACCCTTGAAGTCCTTGATGTGCTCTCTCACCTTCTATTGACTGTGGGATGGGCAGGAAGACATCGATGGTCTTGCTGAAATCACTGAAGTTACCCACATTGAGATACCTGCATCGCAGCCGCACCTCATAGTGTTCCCCTGTGGCAAGCTGGTGGATCGGTTGTGGAGGGTGTTGGATCAGCAACGATTCGATCTGTAAAATTATGAGAATTCAGCAAAAGGCAAGGACAATAGTGAGAGTAAATAAAAACATAAGAATTTGCTAGGCACCAAACATATTGTATAGTTTATTTTTTAACAGAATCTATCTAATTTGTTCTTGAAACAAATGACACTTTCTGCTTCCACCGTCTCCCTTGCTTATCATGGTCTACATCATCTATATCTTTCAGAAGCTTTAAGACCATGATCATATTTCCCCTCAACCTTCTCTTCTCCAGTGTGAACATGCCCAGTTTACCTAATCGCTCCTTGTAGCCCAGTCCCTCCATCCCCTCAATCATTTCGCCCACAAATTATACAGTCAATTCACTTTATAGTATGTCCTGTGAAGTGCTTTAAGACGTCTCGAAGACCTGAAAAGGCGCTATATCAAATACCAAGATTATTGTTGTTATTATATTTTGGTTGCCCACCTCTATCCTCTCAATCACTGCAATATCCTTTTTATATTGCGGTGACTGGAACTGTACACTGTATTCACAGTTCGGTCGCATCAGTGATTTATAAAGTGGCAGGAACACCCCGCTATTTCGGCTCAATATTGACCTTTAAATAAATGACAAGAAATCCTCTCAGATACAGGCGGTCAGCTAGAGGACACAGGGTCATTGGCGGGAAATATAACTTAAAGACAGGTACCAGCAGCTATGTTCTTACACAGGGTGCGGAATTAACCATTCGTGTAAGAAACAGCTGAGTGCTGTGTGAGAGCACAGGAGACCGCACATTCTGGGAGAATGAGATCAAAGAGCCAAAGGTTAATCCTATCCTCTGGTGGGAATTTCTCACATTTTTCCCAGTCTGCTCCATTCTTATTATAATAATAATAATCCTTGCATTTGATATAGCGCTTTATCACATCTTCGAGACATCTCTAAGCGCTTCACAGAATATACTGTAAAGTGAATTGATTGTATATTTTTGTGGGTGAGACGCGGCAGTTGTGGATTTTTTTTGAAGGGATTATTACCCCCGGAAAGCAGAGGTGTGTGAAGTAAGAAAACTGACCCAACTTTTTGCCCTGCTTGGGCTTGAATCTTGCGAGTGCTCTAACCACTCCACTACAGGATACACTACACTACCCCCAGACACTGCATCCTCCAGACACTGCAGCCTCCAGACACTGCAGCCTCCAGACACTGCGACCTCCAGACACTGCGGCCTCCAGACACTGCGGCCTCCAGACACTGCGGCCTCCAGACACTGCGGCCTCCAGACACTGCGGCCTCCAGACACTGCGGCCTCCAGACACTGCGGCCTCCAGACACTGCGGCCTCCAGACACTGCGGCCTCCAGACACTGCGGCCTCCAAACACTGCGGCCTCCAGACACTCAGCCTCCGGACACTGCGACCTCCGGACACTGCAGCCTCCAGACACTGCGACCTCCAGACACTGCGACCTCCAGACACTGCAGCCTTCGGACACTGCAGCCTTCGGACACTGCAGCCTTCGGACACTGCGGCCTCCAGACACTGCAGCCTCCAGACACTGCGGCCTCCAGACACTGCGGCCTCCAGACACTGCGGCCTCCAAACACTGCGGCCTCCAGACACTCAGCCTCCAGACACTGCGACCTCCGGACACTGCGGCCTCCGGACACTGCGGCCTCCGGACACTGCAACCTCTGGACACTCAGCCTCCAGACACTGCGACCTCCAGACACTGCGACCTCCAGACACTGCAGCCTCCAGACACTCAGCCTCCAGACACTGCAACCTCCGGACACTGCGGCCTTCGGACACTGCAGCCTCCAGACACTGCGACCTTCGGACACTCAGCCTCCAGACACTGCGGCCTTCGGACACTCAGCCTCCAGACACTGCGGCCTTCGGACACTCAGCCTCCAGACACTGCGACCTCCAGACACTGCAGCCTCCAGACACTGCAGCCTCCAGACACTCAGCCTCCAGACACTCAGCCTCCAGACACTCAGCCTGGCACGATGGGCCTCAGTACCCCAGCTCACTGCTGAACACTCGTAATAATAATCCTTGCAGTTGATACAGCGCTATATCACGTTGTTGAGACCACAAACAGTTGTGGACTGACTGACCAAATTATTTATTTATTTTACAGGGATTATTTACTCTCAGAAAAGTGATCCACCAATCGACTACCAACCGGGTTTCTAATGACTGCTGGTAAACAGAAGTGTGTGGAGTAAGGAAACTTGCCTCAGGTTTCTCCCTGCCCAGGAATCAAACCCAGATCTTCTCGTTTGTGAGGTGAGGGCTCTAACCAATATTCTAATATTGTACAGGACGCCACACATTATCATCAGTCCACACAAATGACCTATCCCCCTCCCCCGCCTCCGGCACAGCAGATTGGCTGGGCGTGTGACACCAGGGTAACATTCACTGAGACGTACCATTTGCCATTGCTCAGCCTCCCAGTGTTTATACTGGAGCTGGTAGTAGCAAGGGCTGCGGGCTGAGCTGGCTTCTCCGCTGCCACCAGGCTCCCACCACAGCTCCACGTTCATCAAGCGGCCCGTCTGGGTGATGTGGAGCAGAGCCCAGGTCAGGCCCACAGGGGCATCCGGCCTCACTGCCAAAACCAGAGAGTGAGGAGAGGGACAGACAACAGAGGGACACAGTGAGCATGGTACAGAGAGACAGAGAGAACAGGGGACAGAGAGAACGGTATAGAGAGAGAGCATGGTACAGAGAGAACAGGGCACAGAGAGACAGAGAGAACGGTACAGAGAGAGAGCATGGTACAGAGAGACAGAGAGAACAGGGCACAGAGACAGAGAGAACAGGGTACAGAGAGACAGAGAACAGGGTACAGAGAGAGAGCATGGTACAGAGAGACAGAGAGAGCAGGGTACAGAGAGACAGAGAGAGCAGGGTACAGAGAGAGATACAGAGAGAGGCAGAGAGAGACAGCATGATACAGAGAGAGAGAGATTTGCCTAAGGTTTTGTCCTGCCTGGGAATCGAACCCGGGTCTTCTCGTTTGCAAGGTGAGAGCTCTAACCACTGAGCTACAGACTTGACAAGTGAATGTGTCAGCCAGAGTGTTGGCTGAGCGTTGGCTGAGGAGCGCAGCAGATGGTTGCCTGTTGTGGACACTCAGTGGCGTATTTACCGATGTCCTGGATGGTGAAGCACTGCTGCTCCAGTGTACTGTTGTGTGCTCTCAGTTGCACACACTGGACACCAGACCCCGAGGTGTAGCTCTGGTTCAGGTGGCAGCCGATCCCTGCGTCCAGGTAATGAGGGCACTCGCTCCACTCCTGGTCTACCCTGGAGATGTAGGGGAAGAAGAAACAGCTCAGAGTAGTATGTGGCTTGTGCTGACCTGGACCTGGGGAGGGGGTGTGACTGGGACTGATCACGAAGCTGCCTGAGAACGTGCCGGGCTGCGGAGTAGCTTTCTCCCCGATGTTTGTCTGTCCAGAGTTTCTGGACTCGGAAAGTCCTAAGAGTGAAGGTCCCTCACGTCTCCACGGTGTCCAGTGTTTGTGACTGTGTCCTGAGCGGGTCTGAGCTTCCTCTTAACATAAAGTCCTGCTTTTCCAGGCCCAGGATCATTATCATAATAACAATAATAATTATAACAATAATAATAACAATAATCCTTGCATTTGATACAGCACCTGATCACGTCATCAAAGCGCTTCACAGAGTATACTGTAAAGTGTGGTGTCTGTGCGTTTTGCAGCGAAACACGGCAGCCAACCTCGCTAATCAGTGACCCACAAGCAGTCGTGGATTGAGTGACCACATTTCTTTTCTTTGAAGGGATTATTATTCCCTTAAAAGCGATCGCCAATCTACTAACAACCGGGTTCTTACTTACTGCTGGGTAAACAGAGGCGTGTGGAGTAAGGAAACTTGCCCAACGTTGGGGTGGGGGGAGGGAGGGAGATAACAACAACAATTTGTATTTACACAGCGCCCCTCTCGCAAGTTAGCATCCCAGAGAGCTTGACAGTGATGGAGTACGACACCGAGCCGGGTGGAGGTGACCGTAGGCACGGTCGAAGAGGAATGTCTTCAGGAACGACCTGAAGATGTGGAGGGAAGGGGCAAGGCAGAGGGATAGAAGAGAGATCCAGAGTTTCGGGGCTGAAAGTGCGACCACCAAAGATGGAACAACAACAATTTACATTTGTATCGCGCCCTTCACATCAAAGGACATCCCAAGGCACGAAACGGAAGGCACGAGGGACATGCAGAAGGCCAGAGCTAGTCGAGTGGAGGCAGCAGGAGGAAGTGAGAGAAAAGGTGAGGAGGAGAGGAGGTGAGGGAAGCGGTGAGGAGGGAAGGGGAGAGGGTGCAGGGCAGGAGAAGGTCCATGTGGTTGTGTGTAAATGGCCCTGTTTTTCAGTCTCTCTCCCTGTGTGTGTCTCAGGCTTGCCTGAGCCAGCTTGTCTCAGGCTGAATGAAGACACATCAAGCCCCCAAGGCTGGAGATCACGGCTCCATCACTCACCCTTTAGAGTAAAAAAACGTGAGGCTGCCAGGTCCCGTCAGGTTAGGGTAGTTCCCTGCACTCCATCGGCACGTAAAGGTCTCCTGCTCGGGAGAGCGGCACTCAGTGATCCTCGGCCTCTCCCAGGGAGCTGAGAGGAGACACAGAGAAGACAGGTCACCCAGCGCCAGCACTGGCTCCCACACTCACCCCCCTCCCTGCTGTATTGTACTTACAAGCCAATAATCACAATCACAAGACACTGCTTTCACGATCACACTCATCTACAAATCCCTTCACACCTTGGCACCTCCCCATATCTCTGACCTACTCACCCCTCACTCCTCTACCCACTGCCTCCGCTCGGCTGGCTCCGGCCTCCTGTTTGTCCCTCATCCCCTCCGTTTCACCATCAGCAGCCGCACTTTCAGCCACTACGCCAAAAGTGTATTCACTCAGTGAATACATTACTGTCTGTCATCACTCCCGAGAATCTCAGTGAATACAACAACAATAATATAATAATAATAGTTGCATTTGATACAGCACCTTATCACGGCTTTGAGACGTCTCAAAGCGCTTCACAGAATATACTGTAAAGTGTAGTGACTGTGTGTTTTGTGGATGAAATGTGGCAGCCAATTGCGCCCAGCAATGTGCCACAAACAGTCATGGATTGAAGTGACTACATTATTATTATTTATTTGGAAGGAATTATTACCCCAGAAAAGCGATCTGCCAATCGACTACCAACCAGGTTCCTACTTACTGCTGGTAAAGTAAGGAAACTTGCCCAATGTTTCACCCTGCCCAGGAATCAAACCCAGGTCCTCTCTCTTGCGAGACGAGTGGTCTAACCACTGAGTTACCGGACTGCACAATTGTCAGCTCGGAGAGAAACTCCCTTCTCTTTTCCATGGGAAAAGTGTCATTGGATCTGTAACAGCCACCTGAGCTGGGATCTGAGTTTCAGGTTTCATGTGAAGGCTGGACTGTTGTCCCAACACACGGAGACTGAGCTCAGAGTGTTGACACGCACTCAAACCCCCCCCACCTCCTGACTCAGGGCGAGAGAGTGAGTGACTGAGAGAGTGTTCAGGGCAATAGCTATCTGAGCCAGTACTGAAAGGGCAAAGTTCAGATGGTGCTCAGTTCTCTCTGCTGCCGCTCACTAACATGTGTACAAGGTAAACAGCACACAGCAGACACCCACCCATTCCAGGACTGACTGCCAGCCATGCGCTCAGTGGGGAGGTTTCACTGCTTGGTTCCTTACTGTTACCATGTCAGTCCTGAACACAGCCAACCCTACACTGGACATGCTGTGTGTCTGTGTGTGGGGGGTCTGTGTGTGTGATGGTGTGTGTGAGGGTGAGTGTGTGCGTAAGTGTGAGTGAGTGTATATATATATGAGTGGAGTCCTGTAGCTCAGTGGTTAGAGTACTCGCTTTGCAAGTGAGAGACCTGAGTTTAATCCCCGGCAGGTCAGGGTGAAACCTTGGGCAAGTTTCCTTACTCCACACAGAGCCCTAATAATAATCCCTCCAAAACCCAAAACAACAATAAATTGGTCATTTTCAATCCACGACTGTTTGTGGGGACGCTGCTGTGCGCAATTGGCTGCCGCGTTCGCCCACAAATATACTGTCAATTCACTTTACAGTATATTCTGTGAAGTGCTTTGGGACGTCGAGAAGACGTGAAAAGCGCTATATCAAATGCAAGGATTATTATTATATGAGTGTGTGTGTTTGTAAGTGTGTGTGTGTGTGGTGTAAGTGTGTGTGTGAGGCCACAGTGCACGAGGAGGTATTGAGGTGCAAGCCCCTCTCAGTCTCCAGTGCAGACAGCCTGGTTTGGCTCAACTGCTCCTCATACAGATATGACCCCCTGTGTGTCAGTCCGTGACGTTACATGAACAACATATCTGAAGCCAGAGGTTACAACCTGCGATCATTGCTATCACACGGCCTGTTGGACCAGACCTGGCACCCGCATGTTACCTAGCAGCACACAAGACTTTGACCCAACAGAGAGACTGTCAGACACTGAGCGGGGAAGCTGGCTGTAAATCATCCTCTGATATATGTGTGTGGGGGGGGGGGGGAGAAGGAGGAGAGGGAGAGGAGGGGGAAAGGCGGAGGGAGGAGGGCCTTTTAAACAAGGACACATCTCAGTAACACACCAGCTGTGAACACTTAAACCAGCACAGACAGCGCTCACTCGGGGCTTAGTCTGGGTTGAATTGTAGGCCACTTTTGAAAATAAATTTAAACACTAACCCCCCCGTCCACTTCCGCACCCACACTGCCCCCCTCACTGACCCCCACTAAAATCCCCCACACCGACCCATCCCCCACTGCCCCCCACCACACTGCCCCACCCACACACACACATACTGACCCCCACAAACACACTGACATTCCCCCAACACACACACAGACCCCCCCCCACACGCTCTGACCCCCCTCCCACACACTAACCTCCCCCACACACACACACTGCCCCCCCCCCACACATGCACATACTGAACCCCCACATACACACACTGACACACACGCGCGCATACACATACTGCCCCCCCAATACCTCCACACACAGACCCTCCCCCCCCCACACAGTCACACACTGACACCCTCCCCCCTCACACACACACACACACACACAGTCACACACTCACACAGGGCAAGTGTTTGTGGACAAACATGGCAGGCATTTTGCATAGCGCGAGTCCCAACACACAAGCATAAGGTGAACAGGCAATTAACCTGGCGGATTGTTGGCCAGGACAACGGGAGAGAGAGAGGGTGAGACCCCCTTCTCTTTTCCCGACAGCCCCACAGGTCTTTAACGTCCACCTGAACAGGGAGCAGACAGGGAGTGAGGTTTAATGTCTCACCAGAAGCACAATTGGTGAGACATTAAACCTCACTCCCCGTCTCTCTCTCCCTCTCGCTCTCTCTCTCCCTCCAGCGCTGAGTTGGAGCGTCAGCCTGGACTGTGAGCTCAGAGACCTCCCGACGTGGAGCTTGAACCCACAAACTGTGACACGGAGGCCAGAGGGCAGATAACGGAGCCAGGCAGAGTTCACCCTTAACCAGCAAGCCGTGGCCAGGGGCCGTCTCTGTGTTTGTATCTGTGTGTCTG